AGTGCTTATTTATTTGAATTTTTTTTTTGCCAATAGCTTAAGCCATTCATTATTGGATTAATTTTGGAAATAAAATTAGACAGAAAGCAAAATGGGGTGAATTTTTGTGTTTTCATAAGCTGAGACGATTCATGATAACAGCGACGCATTTGATTCAAGAAGTGCTGTAAAGGAAATGAAGAGTTCAAAAATAAAGGAAGTAGTGACCAGGTCATTGGAGGTGGACAATGACCAATTAAAAGCAATTATCAAAGTTGCTCCTCTTTATAAATTGATGAGATTGCTGAAGAACTTAAAATCATTCATCCCACGGTCAGTCATTTGGCACTTCACACTTCAATGTAAAATCTCGACGAATGATTGACCTCATGAAGTGATCGATAATCGAAAAAAAAAATCGCTGTTCTAAAATGTCTCTCTTATTTTGCGCCACAACGAACCATTTCTCATATTGCATTGTAACATAGAATGAAAATGGGTGAAATATGAAAGCACTTTGCAAAGCCGAATTTAGGACCAAAAACGGATACGGCCACCATCATGTTATATGGCCATAACATTGCCATAAAGCTTGTTAAATTCCTTGGAAACAATTTCATCCACGAGGCATGCTGAACATATCGATGAGATGCACCTAAAATTTGATCAGCATCGATTAAGAGTTCAATGCTACAATACAGTGTTTGATCAAAGGTCAGATGACCAGCGTTTCGGAAACTGAACAAATTGGACGAAGAAGTTTTGCCTCGTGACAGCTGACCATTCACAGGAAATACTTCCACAAATAGCACGAAAGATGCTTTCAAAAGTTCATCAAATCTCGAAACACAACTTTCTGTACTGCAAGAATAAATTTGTCTCAATGTTATGGTTTCTATTTCAACTACCACAAATCTACCTATTCAAGCCAAGCTGCAATAAAGTGAACGTCACATAAATTTCAAAAACGCATTTTCTGTATCAATTTAATATATACTCATAATTTAATTGATGACGCTCATTTTAATCAAATTCTCTCAACTTGAATTCATTAATAAAAATGAAAAGTACCATAGCCTCTTTTCTATTTTTTTTCTCGCTTTTTATTGCGATATTTTACGGATCCTTTAACAATTTAAATGAAAGAGAGCCGAGAATTGAGTGCTAGTTGTAAAGCTTTAAATGAAATTAGCTTTTCAATTGGGAAGGATGAAGGTGCAAAGCTTACTGAAGATAGAAGAGATTGCTGGAACTGATCAAAAAATCCTAGGCGGCAAAAGTTTCACGTCATATTAATCCTATCATTATGAGTGACTCTTTTAGTCCAGGTCAATTCAGCGTAATCATCTTTACCATTCACCACACAGCGGCATTCTTGACTCATCAATACAGCCAATTGACATTGTCCACCAATCAGGACTACAGCAGAATCCATATCGATCATTGATCGATCCACTTTCCCATCAATCCATTCATCTCCACTTCGCGACCTATTCCACCCCTCTTCTGATTCATGCCACCGACGCTAACCAATCATATAGCTGTCATATTTTCCGATCAAATTTCGAACTGTGAAGGTGCGTCTGCGCCTGATTGTGTGTGTATATATGTTATGTGTGTGTACGTGTGTGTATGTGTGTGTGTGTGTGTGTGTGTGTGTGTGTGTGTGTGTGTGTGTATATGAACAGGCAACAATAAAACACATTTGATTTGTGTGCGAAGGGAGCAGCACTTGCTTCGATCTGTTTATCGTGTTGGTGGTAGTATCCTGAAGGGAACTCTTCCGCCCCCTCTCCTCTCTCGTAGTGCTCTCGTCGATATACACCCTTCCCTCTCAATCTCTCTCTCTCTCTCTTCGCCTCTTTTCTCCACTTCATTCTCTCCTTTTTTTTTCAATTATATTTGCAATTTTGGGAAGGTTTTCATAAATTCGACGGCCTTCGACTTTTTTCTTCACGCTTTCTCTCACGTTGTCAAAGTGTGATAATACTCAGGACATTTTCATTTCTCTTCC